GCATTCAACGTCCATTTGATTTCTTTCTCGTCGTGACGTGGGACCTGAATCCTGCTAATTAAAAACAAAGAAAGCTCTTTTTGTAATTACTCATCTCGGAATGACTTTTCCCTTTCTGCTCCGTGAACATTCTCTCTCTAGGCCCTGTCGTGCCATACAAGTCGAAGTTCGGAGAGAAGGAAATTAAAAGGGCCTCGACGAGGAAAAGAAGAAATATTTCGAAGAGAGCGGCCCGTCTCGTGTAAGCTTATATGGTGTCCCTATTGATCAAATCCCGCGAGGGCTCTCTCTCTTCCTTCCCCAACGCAAACACGACCGTGTTATCTTTCTTCCCGCAGTATATCCAAGCCCCAATTAAAGCCGAGCGACTCACGGCTGCACACGGGCGGCTCCCTCGGCGACCAGGTCCCGTCCGCCTGGCAGTGCCTGAACCGCGACTCCCCCTCGATCTCGAAGCCGTCCTGGCACTCGTACTCCACCTTGCAGCCGTAGTCGAAGCAGCCTCCCTTTCGGATGCCGTTTAGGATGTCTCCCGGGGGGTCGCACGTCTTGGCTGCGAAAAGCGCCAGATCGACTGAATACGGTAAATAGTAATACATGCTAGAACCTGCCGGAATGGGTCTCGGCTGTGTCCGGAGTGTCCGGAGCAGGGGAAAGTTCTCTCACCCTTGCATTTGAAGTCGGGTCCGAACCACTTGACTTCGGCCTGGAAGATCGTGCACTGGGCATCGGGGAATCCTTCCATCTCGTAGCCGGGCAAGCAGCGGTAGGTGAGATGGGTGTCGATCGGGTATACCATCCGGTGAGGGTCGCCCTCGTGCTCCGCATTCGGAATGGTCGGAGGCTCCGTGCAGTACACTGTGGAAAACGGCAACGACGATATACAATTAAAAGAGGTGGTTGAAAAAGACTGCTCAAAATTTTCCTCGAGTCTCTCGTACGCTCTTCGTCGCATTTCGGGGGCGAGCCCGTCCAATTCCCGACGCCTTGACAAATCCTTCTTCCATCTCCGACGAGGTGATAACCCGCGTCGCAGGTATATATCGCTTCGGATCCGATGTGACGACCGTTCGCGGCGACATTCCCTTTGTCCGGGGCTTCCGGTTCCGGGCACAGCTTATC